AGATAATACCTTGTCATCAAGCACACGAATATTTCTACAGCAAAAAGCATAAATAGTCACACTAGGTAGGACAATTAAAAACTATAAATAGCCTCATGTCAGTTCAGGTCAGGTCAGGTTTTGCTGCCAATATCTTTTTAGATTTTGGGAATCCAGATAAAGGTATTATGGATCATTATTTCATTTCAAAAATCCTTCAACATTCTTAAATTAGCAAATATTAATTAGGTTTTCATTTCTCGTTATCTCTAACTGTAGTAATTCCAGGTAGACAAAAACATAGCTAATTCAAAGCTGCCACACACCAGCATAAAGAACACCCATAGAAGCCATTAGTTCATAAACCAAAGATCCCATCAAATTTTTACATGGCTTTATCCTAGTCTCTTTAACCTCAACTTTATTTGTATCTAATCTCCACCTGCACCATCCCAATGGCAGCCAGTAGCCACATGTGATTTTTGAGCACTTTTAAGTATGTCTAGTCCAAGCCAGGTGCAGTGGCTTATGCCTGTAATCTCAACACTTTGGGAAGCCGAGGTGGGCAGATGGCTTGAGCCCAGGAGTTGAGACCAGCCTGGAAAACATGGTGAAACCCCATCTCTATTAAAAATACAAAATATTAGCTAGACATGCTGGTGTGTGCCTGTTGTCCCAGGTAGTTGGGAGGCTGAGGTGAGAGAAGCACCTGAGCCCAGGAAGTAAAGGCTGCAGTGAGCTATGATCACACCACTTCACTCCAGCCTGGGCAATGAGAGGGAGACCCTGTCTTATAAATAAATAAATACATAAATAAATAAGGCTAGTCCTAATTGAAATGTCATGAAAATAAAATATCTTTTTGATCATTTTTATATAGTTTACATGTTGAAATAATATCTGGGCTATACCAGTTTAAATAAAATATATTATTAAAATTAATCTGTCTCTTTTTACTTTTTCAACATGGCTACTAGAAAACTTTAATTATATAAATATAATATATATTGGCATTACATTTATCTTGGACAGTGCTGCTCTAGTCCCATGCTAGTAAGCATGACTTAAACTAATTAAAATTAAACATCATCTCTTCTTAACTATTCAAGACTGGGCTAGGTATGTCCCCTATGTACTTCCATTGCTCCTTATGCTTACTTCTATCATAGCATTATTTCACTGTATCATAACTGTCACTCCACGAGGTTGAAAGTTTCTTGAGGAAACAGATTAGATTTTTTTAAGCCTCTTATACTGACAAAGATTCAATCTTTGACCAAACTAACTAGGCTCCTCTGAGTTCTCTTCTCAACTAGGCCTCAACCTCTGCCTATAAAAATTCCACTCTCAGCACAAATGATTTCATGCACCACCTTCCACCCACATTAGAAGATTTAAACAAACAGTTTCTAACAGCTCAAGTCTGCATCCCTAGGATGACCCTATCCCCACTTTAAAGTGCCTGCCAGACAAAGCTTAAGGCTGCCAAAAGAATGTACTATTTATTCTAGCCCATATTGGTCAACAGGCCCGACTACCCTTTCTTAGAGCATCCAGTTGTGAATCTTTCCTCTGTACCTTTAAGATGTATATGTGTGTTAGTCTATTTGCACTGCTATAAAGGAATACCTGAGACTGGATAATTTATTTTAAAAAAATAAGCTTATTTGGCTCATGGTTCCACAGGCTGTACATGAAACATGGTGCCAGCAACTGCTTCTGGTGAGGGCCTCAGGAAGCTTATAATCATGACAGAAGGGCACCAGATATCAGGGGAAACCTACCCCCGATACTCAATGTAGGTTCCTTTCTATTTCCTTAAGTGTTGGCTCGTCTGAGAAATAAAGGGAAAGAGTACAAAAGAGGGAAATTTTAAAGCTGGGTGTCCACGGGAGATATCACAGAAGGGGAGCCTGCGTGTTACAAGGCAAGAGAGAGAGGGAGGAAGTGCCAGGCTCTTTTAAACAACCAGATCTCGCCTGAACTCACAAAAAACATACCCATTACCACAAGGATGACACTGAGCCATTCATGAGAGATCCACCCCCACGACCCAAACATCTCCCAGTAGGCCCACCTTGAACACTGGAGGTCACATTTCAACATAAAATTTGGAGGGGACAAAAAATCCAAACCATATCCATATGTACCTCCCACAACTCAGAAGTATTTTTCTCAAGGACCTAAAAGCCATTCCATTAAAATGTAATTATCGGGAAAGTTAGGGCCTCTGCCTGCTAGTCTGTGTATAAGCACAGAATCCTAACTTGATACTTGCTAGCTAACAGACACAGGTGGCCTAATTAGCATGTACACTGATGAACTCTGTAATTTTTCTTTTCCCTTACCACTCCCTCATTCTCCCTTTAAAACACTTAATCACCTCTGTACTAATCAAAGTTGATTTCAATTCATGCTGGACCCTCCTTGCTTACTGCCACACTGTATTACTGACTAAAATCTGTCCTTAGCACTTTCACTTGCATCCAGCTTTGTTTATCTTTAACGATACCCAGAATTATATAGCACAGGCGTGAAATAAGTATTCAATAAATGTTGTTAAGTCAGTGACAATATACAATATAATACTAGCCAGCTGATGAAAAAAGCCATACATAATTCTGGGGCAATAGGCAATCATAAATTACAGCCTCAGTCAATGAGGCTTTAAAAAAAATCAAGGAGAATAACACTGATACATTTAAAAAAAAAAAGAATATTAAAATCTAGGTTGTTTTCTCACCTGAAGTCAAATTCCGAGCTGTACTTTGTGATTTCTGCACTTCAGTAGATTTAAAATTGAGGTCATCCTGCATCATCTTTAGCTCTTGATTGGTGATAGAGGATATCTGTTTCATACGATTTATATTCTGCATTTGCAGAGAAATAAAAATACAAAAAAATCCACTGATTTAACTCTCAATAAAACCCTTGGAAAACACTGTCAAAGGATGAGATGTTTGGATCAGGTATTTGTTTTTGAAATACACCACTCAAGTTATATGTTGTATGGAAAATGAGATTCAAAATTGGATTTTCTCAATAAAGACAGACTATAAATTCAAAATTGTGGGGTTTTTTTCTTCATTTCCTTTATTTCACTGCAGAAAAAAATTCAACTACACTATTTTAGAAACTGGTTGTAGTCTTAAAACACTAAGAATATTGAAAGGAGACCATGCACTTCATAATAGATGCCCAATAAACATTTTCTGATAATTTGAGATACTCATTACGGATACATGCAAGAAAAGAATCCTTTTTATTTACAATAAAATTTACAGTATAAAAACATAAACATTTTCTAATATGTCTGTCTAGGTTTTGAAATTATCTGTGCAAATGTTACTTTCAAAAGTTCAGATTAACAATGGAAGAAGATCATAATAATTATTCTCAATTAGGGCTTCATTTACTGCTGAATATTGATATTATACATATCATCCTTTTTCTCTATCGCCCTAATTACCTGACATTTTGCTAGAGTGATAAAAAAGTTAATAGCTGAAATAAATAGTAACAAGTAAGGGAATTTAAAGGAAGCAGTTAAATGAGAAGACATAATAGTGAGTCATTTTATTTTTTGAGTTGTATTTAGAGAGTTAATCACAGCAAAAATAAAGGCGACACCAAGACAGGCACAGGGTACTCACTCGACTACAGTGCTCCAAGAGTGAAACAATGTTGGCTTCTATCTGTGCCTTTCGTTCCAGTTCCTGATTCTTTGTTTCCTCAAAAGTCTCAATAAAAGCTGACAATTGGAAACCATAAGAGAGGTTACTGTTGATAGAGTTAACACTATATAAACTCTGATTTGTAGGTCTTAAGAGTGCTTTTTAGAAAGTTGTTTTTTTTTTTTTTTTTTTTTTTTGAGATGGAGTCTCATTCTGTCATGAGGCTGGAGCGCAGTGGTGCGATCTCAGCTCACTGCAACTTCCGCCTCCCGGTTCAAGGGATTCTCCTGCCTCAGTCTCCCGAGTAGCTGGGACTACAGGCCTGTACCACCATACCCAGCTAATTTTTGTATTTTAGTAGAGACGGGGTTTCACCCTGTTAGCCAGGATGGTCTCGATCTCCTGACCTCGTGATCCGCCTGTCTCAGCCTCCCAAAGTGCTGGGATTACAGGCGTGAGCCACCGCGCCTGGCTTCCCCTGAAATTTTTAATCACCGATGTAGTGTGTAGCCCTTTAGGTACAGTGACCTGTGAAGGGCCATTATAATATCTAGGTTTTCTTCACCCTTCCGCCAAGAAGCGATTGCTCCATTAAAAATAATAATAATAATAAAAATAAAACACAGAGTACACTAAATCCATTATATCTGAAAGGCAAACAAGAATATTATAAACCTCTCGTGGTGCTTTCAAGATACAAAAAACTTATTGAGTTGGAGGATGGTTTTAGGGAAAGAAAGAAAGAAAAAATTATATGGTTGGTTGAAGTTAAAATGAAAACAATGTAGTAAATGAAATTAAAGTCATTATCAATGACTTTAACCTTTACTAAGAAAAATTTCCAGCAAAATCTTTATCATAGCATTAAACTGGATTTTTATCTCCATTGAAGTCAGTTTTCTTTTTTTTTTTTTTCCACTGTACATCTCTGGAGAACACATAATGACTCCTTTTTTTTTTCTTTTTTGAGACAGAGTTTCGCTCTGCCACCCAGGCTGGAGTGCGATGGCACGATCTCGGCTCACTGTAACCTCCACCTCCTGGCTCCAAGTGATTCTTCTGCCTCAGCCTCCTGAGTAGCTGGGATTACAGGCATGCGCCACCACACCCAGCTAATTTTGTATTTTTAGTAGTGATGGGGTTTCACCATGTTGGTCAACCAGGTCTTGAACTCGTGACCTCTGATGATTCGCCCACTTCGGCCTCCCAAAGTGCTGGGATTACAGGCGTGAGCCACCTCGCCCGGCCCATAATGACTAGCTGTTAAAAGGAACTATAAACACAAAGTATAAAATGTGGAATGAATACAAAGTCTTGATTATTGAATTTGTTTCCTGGTATTGATTTTTGCCTTTTAAAAAATGTACATTTCTTGACAGCTGTTACAGAAGATAGCTTAAAGGGGGAAAAACTTGTTGAATTTACATTGACCTTAGATAAATGAAAAACTTGGGCATGAAGATCTAAAATACAAAACAGGTTTTCTAGATGAAATAATAAAACTATAAAATTATTTAGTTTATAGAAAAGAGAAAATATTTAAAAATATTCATATATGTCCAAAAGAAATGAAAATAGGATCATGAAGAAATATTTACACACCCATGTTCACTGCAGCATTATTCACAATAGCCAAAAGGTGGAAGCAATCTAAATGTCTATAGATAGACTTTAAAATAGGATATGTACATGCAATAGAATTGTTATTGAACCTTAAAAAAGAAAATCCTTCTTTGCTACAACATGGATGAACCTTGAGGACATTATGCCAAGTGAACTAAGCCAGTCCCCAAAGGACAAACACTGTATGACTTCATTTATATGAGGTAATTTAAAGTAGTCAGACTCATAGAAACAGAAGTAGAATGGTGGTCTCCAGGGGTCAGGGAATAGGGAAATATGGAGTTGTTGTTCAGGAGGTATAGTGTTTTAGTTCTGCAAGATGAAAAAGTTCTAGAGATTTGTTGCACAACAATGTGCATATAGTTAACATTACTGTATTGTGCACTTCAAAATGGTTAAGATGATAAATTTCGTTGTTTTTTTACAATAAAAATAAACTCACAGTCAAACCAATAGTAGTTATATATCAAGAATGTAATTCCTCCAGTTACTTGGCATATAGACATACAAATAAAACTATGGTAAACTCAACAAATCTGGATGTAAAACAGGCTTAAATATAGCAATTATATACCTATATCACCACTATAATGCAATTAATAGCATTCAGTATGCATTTATAGGTCCATAATCCCTTATCTAAAACTCTTGTATTTCTGAATGCAGAATTCTTTGGATTTTAGAAAAGTAATATAGCACATATACTAATAATTACATAACAGCAGGGTCTGAGATAATACCTTGTCATCAAGCACACGAATATTTCTACAGCAAAAAGCATAAATAGTCACACTAGGTAGGACAATTAAAAACTATAAATAGCCTCATGTCAGTTCAGGTCAGGTCAGGTTTTGCTGCCAATATCTTTTTAGATTTTGGGAATCCAGATAAAGGTATTATGGATCATTATTTCATTTCAAAAATCCTTCAACATTCTTAAATTAGCAAATATTAATTAGGTTTTCATTTCTCGTTATCTCTAACTGTAGTAATTCCAGGTAGACAAAAACATAGCTAATTCAAAGCTGCCACACACCAGCATAAAGAACACCCATAGAAGCCATTAGTTCATAAACCAAAGATCCCATCAAATTTTTACATGGCTTTATCCTAGTCTCTTTAACCTCAACTTTATTTGTATCTAATCTCCACCTGCACCATCCCAATGGCAGCCAGTAGCCACATGTGATTTTTGAGCACTTTTAAGTATGTCTAGTCCAAGCCAGGTGCAGTGGCTTATGCCTGTAATCTCAACACTTTGGGAAGCCGAGGTGGGCAGATGGCTTGAGCCCAGGAGTTGAGACCAGCCTGGAAAACATGGTGAAACCCCATCTCTATTAAAAATACAAAATATTAGCTAGACATGCTGGTGTGTGCCTGTTGTCCCAGGTAGTTGGGAGGCTGAGGTGAGAGAAGCACCTGAGCCCAGGAAGTAAAGGCTGCAGTGAGCTATGATCACACCACTTCACTCCAGCCTGGGCAATGAGAGGGAGACCCTGTCTTATAAATAAATAAATACATAAATAAATAAGGCTAGTCCTAATTGAAATGTCATGAAAATAAAATATCTTTTTGATCATTTTTATATAGTTTACATGTTGAAATAATATCTGGGCTATACCAGTTTAAATAAAATATATTATTAAAATTAATCTGTCTCTTTTTACTTTTTCAACATGGCTACTAGAAAACTTTAATTATATAAATATAATATATATTGGCATTACATTTATCTTGGACAGTGCTGCTCTAGTCCCATGCTAGTAAGCATGACTTAAACTAATTAAAATTAAACATCATCTCTTCTTAACTATTCAAGACTGG